GTGGCAGTGTGGGAGGCAGGTGAGCACAGAGGGAGCAGGCGGAGCTCTGGGAGGGAGCAGGAGTGGGGCTGTGTCCTGGCAGGGAGATAAAGTAACTTTTCATCAGTCCGTTTTGGAATTCCTTTCAAACAGGAACGCTGACCCACCCGAGCTCGTTAAATAACGTTAGTGGTGCTGCACAAATAAATAATCCAGCTGCCACCTGCACTGCCGGCCAGGGCTCGCTGCCCTCTGCCCTTGAGGGAGCAGAGGTTTCCCACTCTAATTGGACACACGTGCTCCTCTCCTGACAGCAGTGACCTCCAGCACAGCGCAGGATTCTCACACTGCAGCAGCTGCGCTCCTGCAGCTTCATCCCAGAGCTGCAGGAGCAGGGCAGGGAGTCCTGGGGCTGGCAGGAGCTGCGAGCTGGGAGAGGAGTGGAGGAACCAAACCGTGGCGAGAGGAGGGAACGAATCCAGGCCATGCTTGTCACTGAACTGATTAAACCCCAGCTCTGAAGCTCTTCTTCTGTCCTCTAGCCAGTGAGCAGTGTATAACTTCATTACTCCACATCCAGGAGACACTGAGGGATGTGGGCAATTCATTATCATCTGTCCCATTTCATTTCCCTGCCTGTCAGCTCTGACATGCTGCTGTTCACAGACAGCTCGGGGTTTCAAGGTGTGAACTGAGGCTGAAGGCCAATGCTCCTGCAGCACAGTTCTGGACAGGACCCTTACATCCCCATCACTCTTGGGGACCTCCCAGCACCACCTTAGGGGTCTCAGGGGTTTTGTGCCACCCCTGATGGTGGTGTGGCACCACCATCACCAAGCTCAAGGCTTTAGGGGCTTGGCTGCCAGCAGGGACCTCAGGTGCTGGTTGTGCGGAGTCACTCTGGGGACCCCCAACCCTCAGCTGAGGGGAATGCAGAAGTCAGGGATGGTTTTAACCTGGTTTCTGATGCCTCTCTTAATGATGGCTCTGGTGCCACTGTCCCCTATCAGACAGGTCCTTCCTGCTGTCCCCCCTGAGCAGCCACACCAGGCTGCTCCTCCCCAGCCCCGGGGCAGCAGCAGTGGGTCCTGCTGGGCGCTTGCCTCAGATCCTGGTGACTAATTGCTCTGCAAAAAGCATTTCTCCCAAGTTTCTTTCATAAGAAACTGTAACAAGGCTTTGATTTAGCTCTTCTTTTCCTTTCTCCCTGTCTTTTTCTCTCCCTTCCTACCCCAAATGCAGAAGCCCCTTTGATCGTGTGGGTTCAGGCTCCGTAACAAGATCTCTGTTTGTGTCGGGAGTTGTCAGTGTGGTAACATGACAGCACAGTCTCCTTGTCACCTCACACACAATGAATTATTCCTTTCATTCTTTGCACCATCTCTGGGATAAATTACTGCTCCCAGATGGGCTTGTCACCCAGTGAAGCATCCTTAACCTCTGAGATGATCCCTGCCCAGCATGGAGTGCTGGCCACTGCAGCTCACCCAAGGCTGCAGCAAAACGCTGGAGTGGGGAACTGTCAGCCTAGCTTGAAAGCAAATTGCTTTGCCAATTTATTTTCTTTCTTGTGTATGAACATATTTTTCTTAAAGGGATGCTGTCACATTAAATATGGAGCTGCCAACTGCAGGCATTAAAAAATCATGGGTCGTCCCATTTTCCTTCCTCCCACTCTAAATTCTGAGAAAACAATAAATTTGGGGTTCTTTTTGCTTGTCATCTGCCTTTCAGCTCGAGATGCTTTTGCAAACTTTTTCCCAGCAGCTGGGAGGTTTGGGAGCTTCAGCACCGTGACAAGAGCCATGGAACTGGGGCAGATGGGGCTGGCACTGGGGTGGCCCCTCAGCCACATCGGGGTGTCCAGCTGTCCCTGGACCCCTGGGGGGTCCCCAAGGGCAGACCCAGAGCAGTCCTGGTGCTCAGGAGCCTCCCCTCCCACCAAAGCTGATGGGGCTGAGCCATGTGCTGGTAAGGAAATCTTCCCCAAATCTGTCCATGAAGGGCGTTCACTGTCAGCAAGTTGCCTGGACACTGTGTCACTTTGTCACGTCTCCTGTGACAGATGCAGAAAGTCCTTTTCAGCCTTTATGCTTCCTAGGAAGGAAACATAAACCTTCCCTAAAAAAAGGGAAGTAGTGTTGTTGCATTTGGACAAAGTGTGTTTCCATGCAGCCCTGCTGAGCTGGGGATGGGAATGAGGCATTTGCCACCCTGAACAACTTCATGGCAGTTTCTGGAACGTGTCTGATGGATCTGGGATGGGAGCATGTCTGACCTGCTATCAGGTATCAGAAATCTCTCATATATAAGAGATCTGATTGAAAACAGGTGCTATATGGGGCTGGGTCAATGCTTTCCCTTTTTTCTGCTGCAGCAAATCTCCCTCCCACAGCTGCAGGTAGGGATAAGTCTCACTCCTCTTTAATTTTAAAGAAAAATCTCTTCCAAAGCTGCACTGTACCGCAGCCTCGCAGCTCAGCAGGGCTCAGCTGCCCCCCAGCCCCACCACGTGGGCTCCAGAGCCTCCCCCAGCAGGGTGTTTGATAACATTGATTTTAATAAAGCTCTGGGCTTGTTTTGATGGACACATCCAAAGCACTACATGGATTTAAACAGATCCCGTTGCAAATATCTCTATCTGATACCCCTGGCGTGACCAGACTGCAAATGTCACTTGCTTAGCACTATCAAATATTTAATTTGCGTTGTAATAGAGGAGCCTTTGAGAGCTCCAGCTTAAGCTGGAGGTCTCCTGTTAGCCAGCAGCTCTCCACAAATTCACTTAAAATCCAATTTCTGCCCTGAAAAGCTCCTGACCCAGATGTGAGAGTGAGGGGAGCTGGGAGGGAAGACTGTGCCCAGCTGTGCTGTGGGACCTGCTGGAGCCCTGCTCATCACTGTAAGTGCTCGTGGTGGGTGTGCTCAGCTTTGCCATGAGAACACGTGGGTGGGGAAGGGGATTGGCACTGCCATCCCGTGGTGTTTGTGCCAATGTTTGTGGCCTTGTGTGTCCAGTGGCACCGCTGCTGACCCTGCTGTCCGTGCCTGCAGTGGGGGTGGAGGCCCCCAGGAGCTGGCCTGGATCTCATTCTGGATCCTGCACTTGTGGAAAATCATCTTTTCTGGGGGGCAGTGAGGGGAGCACGAGGTACTGGCAGGGCTCAGAGTCTCCCTGGGCATCACCTGCTTCTCTGTGTTTTATTTCCCAAGAGAACACAGTGGGGTCTGGATCTCATTCTGGATCTTGCACTTGTGGAAAATCATATTTTCTGGGAATTTCCCTATAGCAGCGAGGGGAGCACGAGGTGCTGGCAGGGCTCAGAGTCTCCCTGGGCATTACCTGCTTCTCTGTGTTTTATTTCCCAAGAGAACACAGTGGGGTCTGGATCTCATTCTGGATCTTGCACTTGTGGAAAATCATCTTTTCTGGGAATTTTCCTGTAGCAGTGAGGGGAGCATGAGGTGCTGCCAGAGCTCAGAGTCTCCCTGGGCATCACCTGCTTCTCTGTGTTTTATTTCCCAAGAGAACACAGTGGGGTCTGGATCTCATTCTGGATCTTGCACTTGTGGAAAATCATCTTTTCTGGGAATTTTCCTGTAGCAGCAAGGGGAGCATGAGGTGCTGGCAGGGCTCAGTCTCCCTGGGCATCACCTGCTTCTCTGTGTTTTATTTCCCAAGAGCACACAGTGGCTCTGCCTAACCTTTGTGCTGCCCACAAGAATCCTGAAGGATTCTGTGATCTCCTCAGATTCTCCTCATCCAGGGGGTGCACGGACAGTGAGGGGGGTGAATCCTCAATCCTTCCTCTCCCACTGCTCCCTGCGCTGTGCTCACACCTCCAGCCGGGCCCTGGGATGGAACGTCTCACTCCCTGCCTCTGTTTGCTCTGCTGTTTTCCCTGCTGGATCGAGAGCAGGCGGCACTGCCCAGGTTTTGTTTCCCTGCCCTGATGCAGAGGAGCAGCATCGCTCCCTCCATGGTGTCTCCTTCAGCTGGGTTTCAGCTGTCCTGGCTGCCCGGGAGCAGGATCTGCTGATTCAGGGGACACTCAGCCCTGAATGCGGTGTTAATGATCTTGCTGTGCAAAGGAGAGGACGGGCAGCGGCACCGTGGGATGCTCCCTGCCCTCCCGGCAGGCTGCAAGATGTCCCACTGCCCTTCAGCCTGTGGGAACGGGGCTGAGGGGAGCCCCAAGAGCATCTGAGGGTAAGAACTGGGCATTTGGGGGTTCACAATGAGGGTTGTGAGTGGTGTGAGCCCTGCGTGTGCCCTGGTCCCCGTGCCAGGAGCCAGCCTGCACTCCAGAGCCCTTGAGGAGAGACAGCTCACACTAATCCTTGCTCTGACAACGGATGGTTTATGGGCTGATCCTAAAACGTGCCTCTCTCTGGCATTAGCAGAGCATATGTCAGGGCTGGGGGCAGCTGGTTTGATGCAGTGTTATGAAATGCTGAAGTGCTGCAGCCATGGCCAGGCCCTCCAAAACCTGCAAATCTGCCTGGCTCTGCTCAGCCCTCAGGCCAGCACTCTGAAGCGTCTCCTGAAGCTAAATCAGGTCCCCCGGGCCACCTCCATGCCCAGGGCAGAGCCCCCTGTGCCCTTCCCACCCCTCCACCAGCATCCAGAGCCTCTTCATCAAATCACCCAGGGAATTCTCTGGGCCCAGCCTTCGAGGCAGCCCGGAAAGCTGCCCCATTCCCCCATCTCCCCTGTCACTGAGAGCTGCTGTCAGGTGCATCCGCCTGCTCTTGGCTCAAGGTGGCTCCTCCGGTGGCACCCCTGCCAGCTGGCATGCCACCGCGCTGCCCCGCGTGACGCCGGGGGCTCTTCGGGAGCTCGCTGAGCCGCGGGCACCGACCGGGACGTGCCGGCTGCGTCCGGAGCCTGCTGATGAGGGCTGATTTAGTGGCGATCGAACGGCGATTGAAGCGCTCCTTGAAATACGAGACGAGCGTCTGCGGCTGTCCGGGCAGCGCGGTGCCCCCCGGGCTGTGGCACAAGGGCAGGAGGTGCCAAGGGCAGGGCTCGGCGGTGCCGCCACCAGCAGCAGGTAGGAGCCTCCTGTGCCAGGCTGGGGCAGCCTGGGAGAGGCGTTGGTGGCTGGCTGGGCTGGGATTGCCCGTGCCGGTGCTGGGGGGTCTGTGAGGATGGTGGGGCTGCTGCTCCAGCGGGTCTGGGGGTCCCTGGAGGGGGGCACAGCCAGGGGTCCTGGTGCAAACACGCGTGGCAGGGTCACGGAGCTGCTAAACGGTGCAAGCCCTGAGGCGATGGGATGCAGATTTGGGTCGGGCTTGTGGTGTTGTGGCAGCTCTGGCTTTCCTGAGGGTCCTTGCAGGTGCGGACCATGAAACTGGTCCTTGCTCAGGGGGTTTGAGGGAATTTTGTGACAACTCTTTGTGGCCACTTTTGTGCCAACACTTTCTTTTACTTCTGTTGCTTTTTTTTTAACTGTTGTGTGTACTCAGTGGGAGGCAAGGAAGGTGGATTCAGTAGAAAGTAACCTAGTGAACTGAAATAAGGTTTTTTTCCGCTCAGATTTCTTGCTCTCTTACCAAGTTCATGCACTTTCTGTTCAGGTGGTGTTCTCCCTGATCACAAATTGCTGAATGGAGAGATCTCCCAGTTAGCTCTTGTCAGGTCCCCTCAGCTCTGTGACAAAGGCAGTTTGACTTGGGGGGAGGTTCTGGTCATGTGTGCTGGCTCTCCTGAGCTCAGCCCAAATAAAAATCCCATGGGACACAAGCTGGTGCTGATGGCAGCAGGGTCCCTGCTGGGGTGGGACACTGAGGGAACATCCCTGCACAGATGTGAGGCTGCATGTGCATGGGAACCTCTCTCCAGGCTGGGATAACAGCACCCCCTGTGCCCAGCGTGGCCTCTATGGGCCTGCCCCAGGTTGTTCAGAATACAGGAAATGGTTTATAAATAATGGGAATCATGATGGGAATAATGGGAAAGGACCTGACCTGCATCAAACCTGCTCCCTCATCAGGATTGTGGAGCTTGGCCAGAGCCCCAGTGCCCTGCTGATGTGTCTCATGCCCAGCCAGAGGCTTTGTGGGGTGCTGTGGGATGCTGTGAGATGCTGTGGGATCCCATGGGGTGCTGTGGGGTGCAGTGGGATCCTGTAGGATGCTGTGGGGTGCTGTGGGATCCTGTGGAATCCTGTGGGGTACTGTGGGGTGCTGTGGGGTGCTGTGGGATCCTGTAGGATGCTGTGGGCTGCTGTGGAATCCTGTGGAATCCTGTGGGGTGCTGCTTCAGCCCAGTGTGTGGGCATGGAGCCGCTTGCAGTGACTGCAGCCTGTGCAGCAAGTTGTGCATTCTGGAGTTTGCTTTGCATTCAGGAGCTGAGTAAAGGATGGCCCAGCACCCTTCAGGAAATCAGCAGCCAAAGGAACATCCCCCGTGAGGCCTTGGCTCCGAGGGAAGGGCAGCAAGAGGTGCAGGGTGTGATCAGGTCCTGGGAGGTGCCACTGGTGCTGCTCAGCAGGTCAGATCTGGGCAGTGCTGGGTGGGTGGCAGCTGATCTACCCCATCCAGGAGAACCCTTGGGAAGACTATCCAAAAATTTGCAGCTGCTTGTGATGCTCCTGCACGGTGGAGACAAAACCTCATGGCTGCTGGGGTGGGATGGGTGGTGGGGCTGGGGTGTGGTGAGTGCCTGTTCTGAGCTGGGTTTGACTCAGAGCCACCCTGGGGGTGTCATTTAACCTCCACCTTGCTATGAAAGGTAACAGCCCCCCATCCCTTAGCCAAAAGTTCCTCAAGGCTTTGCTGAAAAGCTGACATCTGCCCCAAAGCAGGCATCAGTCAGGGCACTGCCAGCCTGCACACGTGCCACGAGCTGTCCCCATGACCTGTCCCAGCCACCAGCCACCCGCCTGTGGCCCTGACACCTGAGAAGCAGAACAGGCACAGAAGAAATTAAGTGAATGAGACAACAAGTGTGTGTGCAATTAGGACAGAGCTTCAAACGCTGCCCCGGGAGCCGGGACAGGAGCTGCTGCCTAATCAGAGCAACAGCAGTGCCTGTTTCAAAGACGAGGGAGACTTTGGGGATACTTTGTCCACATAATGTTCCAATTTTAGCTCTGCGTCCTGGGATGTAATTGCATTAAAAATACCCGGGGAGGGGGAGGATGCCAAGGGCACCCGGCGACCTGCCTCGGCTGTGTCCCCACAGCGTGCCGCGTGTCCCTGAGGCCCCGTCTCACATTCCTGCTGCTGATCTCCTCCCAGATCTGCTTTCCGGTTGCTCTGTTAATGGTTTTCCTGGGAAAGGCCTCTGTTAGCAGCTAGTGGAACACCTCAGCTCCTTTGGGCTGATGGGGACACTGCGGCCACCTCCGGGCTGCAGGGCGGCGCAGGATGGGGCAGAGGAGAGGGGAGCTCACCCGGGTGGGTGGGTGAGTGGCAGTGGGACTGCCTTTTGTCCCCGCTGCCCCCTGTCCCCGCTGTCCCCGGTGTCCGCTGTCCCCGGTCCCGCTGTCCCCGCTGTCCCCGGTCCCGCTGTCCCCGGTCCCACTGTCCCCGCTGTCCCCGGTCCCCGCTGTCCCCGCTGTCCCCGCTGTCCCCGGTCCCGCTGTCCCCGGTCCCGCTGTCCCCGCTCGCGGCTCCCACTCGCGGGACGGACGCGGAGCGGCGGCGCCACCGCGGGGCCGCGGCCGGGGCTGCAGCGAACCGAGCTCGCGGTGGGCCCGGAGACCGAGCCCTCGTAGCCTGGGGGGTGCTGCGAGCTGGGGCGAGGGCACCCCCAGCGGGGTTTGGACAGCCCGAGCCCCCGGTGCGTCCCAGCTGCCCGGGGGGCGTGCGGGCGACTGAGTCCTGGCGGTGCAGCCCTGCCGAGGGTGCCAGGGACATCCCTGCAGGGCACCCTTGGGTGCTGCCCGGCCATCCCCCGACGCCCCGGCCCCTGCCTTGGCCCCTGCCGTGCCTGCGGGTGTTAGCAAGCCGCAGCTGCCGGCTCCGAGGCGGTAACTGGATCGCAGGGCTCGGGTGACCTTCGCGCCTCCGAGACTGCTCTGGATGTCGCAGCGGTGCCCGGCTCGGGCTCGGGCGGCAGGAACAGTGTCCCTGCAAGGCAAAGGCCGCTGGAGGGCTGTCCCCAGCTGACCCCAGGCTCTCCATGGGCGGCTCTTCTCTGTGGTGTCGCTATGTGGGTCTGGGGCTCCAGCTCCTGCTGCGAGCTGGTCCCACAGAGCCCCATGTTCACCCTGCTGGTGGCTGATGGTGGCAGCGCCAGCCGCTCTCCTCCGTGGTGGGGACAGGCTCTGGGACGCCCTCACCACACACGAGTCCTGCCAGCTGAATCTCTCGCTTGCTGAGAGCTGGTTCCATCCTAACTCTGCCTTGGCCAACCCACAGTGCTGCCCACCAGTGAACAGAGACTTGACCTGACACAAGGAGTGTCGTCTAGAGCTGGAAACGTGGAAGAAGTGGGTTATTCTCTGCTCCAGCACTCCTGGGAATGCTGCTGCTCGGGTCATCTTGCCCAAACGCTGTTTCACTTGCTCAGGGATCCCCTCAGACTCACACACCAAAGGCGTGGGACCTGTGTTGGCCTCTCCTGCCTCACCTGGCACCCGTCCCTGTCCCTCTGTCCTCACAGTGGGTCTGTCCTTCCTCCCGCAGGCATGAAGCGACCCCTGAGCCCATCCCAGAGCCCCGAGAGTGCAGTGCAGCTGGTGGAGGAGGCCAGCTGCCCCCCCAGCCAGCCCGAGCAGCGCATGAAGAGGGAGAAGAAGCAGCAGTCGTTCACACTTTGCGAGGTCTGCAATATCCAGCTCAACTCCGCTGCCCAGGCGCAGATCCACTACAACGGCAAGTCCCACCAGAAGCGCCTCAAGCAGCTAAACAAGGGGAAGATGCCAGCAGCCCAAGGTAGGAGCCCACCCAGCAGGTCCAGGTTGCCCCAAGGCTGCCCTTGCTCTGGCACAGCTGCTCTGTTGGGCTCGTGGAAAGTTTGGAAGTGCTTGGTTTTGTCCTTGGCGTCTGTCACTGGCTGGAAGTGCAGGGCTTTCAGCCCTCAGGTGGTTTTGGGGCCCAGGAGGCCACGCTGCAGCAGCGGAGGGATGGACACACGTGGGTCTGTCCATGTGCAAGCGTGGTTGTTGCTGCTCTGTCTTTGTGGGTATCTCCTTGAGTTGTGTAGCTGGTTTGTGCAGCATCCCCAAGGCTGTCACTTGCTGGGATACTGGATGCTGCTTTGCAGGTGCCAACCTGAGCGTGTCCCCCAGGCTCCTGCTGTGCATTTCTCCTGTATCTGCACTGAGTTTGATCCAAAATTCCGCTCAGATGTTGGTGCTGAGGCCCCTCACCTGTTGGCTGTGGCAGGAATGCTGCCACGTGCAGGTGCTGTGTTGCTGGGCAGGAGCTTGTGCAAGGGCAAGGACTCACTTGCCCTCTGTGCCATCTGCCAGCATTCACCTGGCTGGGCCCAGCTGGCTGCTGCAGATTTTATGCACAAAAGCAGGGAAACGTGCCCAGAAATGTCACCCTGTCACCGTGGCTGACCTGCTCTGGCTGAGCCTTTGGCTGTGAGGGATTGTCGTTAGCAGGAAACCAGGGGAATTGCACAGAATCACAGAATGCCTTGGGATGGAAGGGACCCGAAAGATTATATGGTTCCCTGCTTCTGCTCTTCCTAGAGACTGGGCAGGCTGGAGCCATGAATTCCTAGCATGGCAATAGTCATCTTTGTGCCAAATCCTGCCCTGACTGGTGCTGGTTTTGTTTGGGTAAAGCCTGGGATATGCAAAGGAGCAGGTCTCTTCATCAGCGTTACTGACAGATGGAAATATCGCCGGCTATTTTAATGGGGATAGGCCTCATAAATTCCAGCCTGCAGCTTCCAGCTTCTCCCCTCACTGTGGCCTGATGGGAGGCTGTCCAGGGATGCATTTCCTACTGAGCCAAAGAATCTTTGGGGCATGCCAGTCTGCTCTTTGTGCTTCTGCACCGTCCCTGACCTCTGCCAGTGTGGCACCCCTGGGGCCCCGTGCTGTCAGCCCCACACTCTGCACTCTGCCAGCCTCGCCGTGGTCACTCCTGAGTGTGCAGGGCTCTGATCTGCTTGTGTGGAGAAATTACAGGCAGCAGCTGCTCTCTGTGCCTCCCTGTCCCTCCTGTTCCCGCTGGAGCTGACCTTTCCCTGCACTTTTGGTTAAAAATGTCACTTCCAGCGTTGTCACTGTGAGCCTTCCCCAGCCTCCTGAGCCTGGCTGGGAACTGACTGATGTGACTCCTGTGTCCCCTCTGCACCGGTCGTGCCACTTTATGCCATATGGGTCCCCCCAAAATGCAAAGGGGACCAGCCCTGTGTTGAGGACAAGAGCAGGACAAGCTCCTGGCTGGGCTGTGGTGCATGGGCAGGGCTGGCAGGGCCATGGGGTGCTGGGGAAGCCCTGCCCTGCCTCATCACACTCCTCGAGGAGCCCTCCACCAGATCTGCACCTTTGGCTGCTGAGAGAATGCTTCTGCCTGCAGTCCTGGGACAGTCACCCCTCCTTGGGCAGCTGGGCACAGCCTGGCACAGCCCACAGACAGGAATGGCTAGCACAGGTCTCCAGCGGCGTGTCAGCACTGGGGGAGCCTTGGGAGGTTAAAGACAGTGGATTAAATGAAGTAATTGAGTAATGAGTAATTGAGGGATGTTCCTCTGGGCTGGAATCTCTGTCTCATGCTGACATCTACAGCTACATCAAAGGCAGCTTCCCATTCACCACTCAGTCTCCCTGCTCCCCTCTGGCTCCTGGGATCTGTTCTTCCTGCACAGGCTGTGATTGCTGGCGTCTCGTGCAGCAAAGCTGCAGAGGAGAGGCTCTGGCAAACATGCTAATCAGTGTCATTACAATTCATTAGCTCTGTAGCAGAAAGTCCCCAACTTGAGAAACAAATGATTGCTTATTAGACTTTTCATTTTGCAAGACAGGTCCCAGATCCTCGTTGTCCTGTGTGGAATCCTGGGGAAGGTGGTGATTAGATGCAGGGTGGCCACAGATGAAAGACGTTTTCGTGCTGCAGATGCCAGCTCTAATCCAACTGGGTCACGAGTGATTTAATTACTGCCTGTGATTTCCCAGGGAGCCCAAGCCATCTCAGTTTGCTCTCAGAGTCCTCAGGAACCAAACCACAGCCTGGTGCTGGAGCAGGAAGAGCTGAGCCACCCCAAAATGAGCCACCCCAAAATGGGCTGCGGGAGCATGGGCAGGGGGCTGCTGCTTCCCCTCATCCTGGATCATCTCTGGGGCTCCCACCACAGGACAGGCTGAGCTGGAGCATTTCAAAACTTACACCCTGATTCATTGCCCTCCCTAAAAGTCCTTTCCACCAGTGTCTCAAAAAAGCCATGGGGTGTAAAGAACAGCTCGTGCACGCTGCTATCAGAGCACTGTCTCTGGGCTCTGCCAGCCCCCACCTCCTGCAAGGCAGTGGGAAGCACTCTCCTTTGGAGCACCAATTCCCCGGCAAATCTGAGCTGACAGCAGCTCATGCCCCTTTGGCCAGGGAAGGACACGCTGTTCGGGCATCTCCTGTGCCCAGGAGGCTTCACACAAGCCCCGAGCCCAACTCAAACCACTTTTCTGGGCTTTGGAGGCTGCTGAGCTGCTCCCCCAACCCAAATGCCAAGGCAGGGCCGAAGCACCCGGAGAAAGCTGCGCCCTGGGGCTGATTTGTGTCACAAACCCGTCCTCCTTTCCAGCATCCCGTGGCATTGTGTGCCCTGACCCTCTCCCTGCCTGCCCAGAGCTGTCACCCTGCCTCACACTGGGGCTGTCCTCCCCCTCGGCAGCACAGCCCTGGAACAACGGCTCCTCGCAAAGGGAAAGGTCCTGGTTTTCCCAATTATCCACTGAAATGTCTGTCCGTGCGTGTTTGGGAGCAGAGAGGTTTGAGATGAGCAGAGAAATCGCTGTGACAGCTTCAGCATCACGGGGCCTGCAGCAGAGAGCAGGGCCCCTGGCAGGGACGTGGGGACCCCAGGGGAGCCTCTGGGAGTCAGAGGGGGCTGGCAGCTGCTGGTGGGATTATCTTGTGTTTCACAGGGGGTCCCAGCTCCCTGGTTTTGGCAGCTGGCAGGGAACCCCCTCCCCTTGCATGGCTCCTGCAGAGCTGGGTGGCAGTGCCCGAGGCACTGGGGCTGGGCTGTCGCTCTGACCAAGGAGCCCATGGTTGTGCTCTTGGCTGGTCTGGGAGAGCCCTGCTGAGAGACAGCTCCCGAAAACCACCCAGAGCAGCAGCTGGGGTGGACAGCAGCAGAGGGAGGGGACCTGGTGGGTCTGACCATGGCACTGGTGGGTGTGTGATCCCACTCCTTGCTGCTGCTCCGTGATCCTGGGCCATGTTCCCTCTCCATGACCCTGCTCTGTGTGCTCTGGCACCTCATTCTCAGCTGCATTCCCTCCTCCTTCCCCCTCTGCTGTGGCAGCCTTTCAGCTGTTCATTACCCAGCAAACGGGTGCCAGTCCCTTTCAGCCACGTTCAGCTGGGCTTTGTCTGCAATAATCCCAAGGTATTGATTTAAATAGTTTGCAAACATGTGGGATTAGGGTCTAATTGGGACTAATCGGGGTGCAGCAGTCATGTCACTGCTGGGTTGGGGCTGGGACATTCTCACATCTGCCCTTGGTGGAGCTCCCAGCCGTGCCCAGCCTTGGTGCCTGCTCCAGCAATGCCAGAGGAAATGTTTTCCTGCTTCCTCCTTGCTGCTCTCCTGCTTTTGGGGACTTTTGGGACAAATTTGGCAGGGACAGGCCAATATCTGCCTGGCATGGGAGCCACTTCACAGCATCCATCACCAGGTACACTGGCAGCACATCGGGCTCTCCCAAAATTCCCAGTGGCAGATCCCTAAAGGGGATTTAACATTTGGCTGGGACAAACCCTGCATCTGCCAGGTGCTGATCAATACCTTGTGCCCAAGCAGCACCAGGGTTCAGATTTTAAGCTTCTGTGAATTTATGAAGGACAAACATACGGAGTCCTCCTGCTCCATTGGCCTCGGCTTCTCCCTTCATCTGTGAGCAAAGATGAGCAAAAATAGCTTTTCAGATCAGATTTGAATAACCTGGAATCTCAGTGGGAGAAATAGAATGGGGTTTTTTTTCATGTCTTAAAGATGCTGGCTGGGATCAGGAATAATTTGAAGAAGCTGAGTTGGGTAATTGTACATTTTCCTTCCCTCTGCTCACTCCAAGGCTTCTCCCTTCCCATTGGGGCACAGGGATGGGGCACAGGGATGTCCCTTGGGCTCCTGGGGACAGAGCTGGGAGGGCTGAGAAGGGAACTGGCAGAAAATCCTTGTTTCACTAAATGCTCTTATTTTTTTTTACAAAAAACACCCCCCAGTTTCTGTGGGGGAAGGGACCTGTGGGTGCCATGTGAGAGGCTGCACATGAGCCCAGACCCTGCACATCAACTTCGTGCTGGCCCATGAATCCAGAGCAAACTGCTCCCTTTCTAAATCCTCAGAAAATACCCCATTAGCTTGCTGTCCCTCTGAAAAGCCCAGCTATTCAGCTTTCTGTGGATTAATAACTGTAGCATAATTAATCTCTGATTTTATTGAGTCAGTAAATTCTAATAGAAAATGAATTGATTAGCGGTCAGCTTTGCCTGGAAGGATTTTGTGGTGTGGAGCCTTCCCCCCAGGACTGACCTCTGGCTCTGCACCCCAGTTCTGGTCAGAGCTTCAGGGATATTTTTCCTTGACACACTTATTCCAAAAAGATCCTTTACATTTAAACTCTTACAGAGAAGCTGCAGGGCTTTTCTTGTGCTGCTGGGGCATCAAGGAGGTGGGAACCTCCCATGGCAGGAGCTCGGGTGCTCAGGTGGATGCTCCAGCTTAAGAAATACAGAGAAATATAGAGCCAAAAGAT